AACAGTAATTCGTGCAGTTTTTTTTTAATGATTTGAGCCGATTACACGTGCAGTACGCGAATTTCCAACTTGCTCCGAAATTCAAAAAATCGTCTCGAAAGCAGATCTCTTTTGACGGTACAACCGGTCGTTTATACCAGACCGCGGGAGCAATCACACACTCCATTAGGCAAAAATTCGCATAAAATTCAGCGGACCATCCCGGACACGGTACGCGGGCGTCCAATTTACGCCAAGACAAATGTCACGACATTTTCCACGGTAATGAAAGTGGAGGAAGCTTGGCACGACCGTTTTGTTTTCTTGCACGGCCGTATAAGGGCACATAAACAAAGAAGGAGAAAACTATAACGAGAGAGAGAGAGAGAGAGAGAGAGAGAGAGACGAAGCAACGAAGGAGAAACGGAAAGCAAACGAGAGAGGCGAAAGAACGAGCGAGCGAGAGAGAGAGAGAGAGAGAGAGAGAGAGAGAGAGAGAAAAGAGAAAGAGAGGAGGACGAGCGTAGAGAAAGCGAGGCATCGTGAGGAAGAGAGCATGAGGGAGGAATTTCCTCGCCGCCCCCAGAATTCAATCACACCATGTTTACAGCTCAGTACACTTAATCCTCTTTATTGGATCCAAAGCGTTTGCCAGTGCGGCGTATCTCAGAATTTGATCAATTTTATGGGCAAAGGATTTGGATGATACTTGTGCGGGCCAGCCATCTGTCTATTTCGGTCCTCAGTGAAATTATGTCGGTTCTGAAGGTGACGTTAACGATCTCGAAACGTGCCTATTATCCTTGCAGTCCTAATTCGAAAATGTACTCAAACAGTCAATAACGTTGCCGATAGCCAACAACTGCTCGGATTTACAGAGTATTTCTAATTAGACCCAAATGATATTACAGTCGCTGATGAATATATGTGGCGCGCTCTACAACGAACTTAAAAATTTGCATGCTCGTGGAAAATAATCGCAAAACGTTTTGCGAATAAGATATCTGACGTGACGAGAGATTAATTATTTCTGCTTTCTATTTGCGAGCCGGCATATAATGACTGTATCTATTTTAACGACTAATGTACTTATCGTTTAAGCTGTTACTCAGTAATAACTTCTAAATACCGCAAATAGACATTAAATTTAAACGCGACTATTTCTACATGCTTTTTCAGCTCTCTCCTCTTCTTTGCCGACGCATTAACTCGCTCGCGCGGGACGTTTGTGAGAACAGTTGAATTTGACGACAGACTGCCAGACGTTTCCCCACTGAGAACTGCAAAATTGCAGACAGAAGGTTGTCCGGAGAAGTAACGAGCCAAAGTGCGATAACAAAGCTCCACCCCGAAAGCGCACAGACGCATTTTCAAAACGCCGCCACGCACAAAGCCCACCCTCGTTTGTAAACCCACCGCATAATGATACGTTTTTATTCTCTCCCTTATGCGTGTGTGCATATGCACGCTCTCTATTTCCCTTTCTCTCTCTCTCTCTCTCTCTCTCTCTCTCTCTTACTCGTTCTCTCCCTTTCTCTCTGCGTAACCGCGGCGTGCCAGCAAGGTGGGTCAAAGATAGTAATAATTAGTGGAACATGAATCGCTAAATTCCGCGTCGCGGGTCGATAAAATGCTCGCGACAGTACATGCGACGAGTGATTTACATGCCGGCACGGTGAAAATATCCTGGCAACGTGGTGTACATCGACGTATTCTGAGACTCCTAGGCATAAATAACCCCCCTGAAAAACGGTCAGAAACGATGCGTCGTATCTCACGTTTGAAAAGTGTGTAGGGCGCAGCGCGCGCGATAAATTACCCTTCATAATGTTAACCGAGCGAACACCACCCGCACACTTCATCCCCCCCCTCCACCTTTATTAATGCAGAGAGCTCGAGTGTATTGGAATATACGCGATTGCCCGGGCTTGTCTTGCGCATCGACGAGAGCTCGGGACACTTTTAAAACGTTCCGCTCGCTTTGATGTAATAATGCGGGAGGATCTGACAGAATGGGCGACTGTGCTTTCTTAAAGGCGAACCTTCTATTCTCCGATATGCGATGATCCTCTCTACTGGATCCGTCTGGTGGTGATCCATCAAGTGCGACAAGAATACCGTTCGGACGACGTTCGGATCTTCGTAAACTCGAACGCTCAAGTTGTCGCGCTGAATATCGCGGATTCGTCGACGACGGGATTTGTTAACGAGATCGCATAACGTGGCCGATCGAGCCGTTCCTACTTGCATCACTTCGCTTCCGTGATCTGATCGATGCGACTTCGCCGAATGACATCGGCGAAGGCGAGATCCTATTATCCGCAACATAGGACTAACCTCGATCGACTTCACGAATATCGAGCAAAACAATCACCACCGAACCACCTGTTACACGTGCAAACTTTTTTATAATTTCATAAAGAGGCAACTCAATTTACACACTTATTTAGCATTTTACGTGCTTTATTAGCGCGATAATATTACGAGCTAACTTCAAACTTGCCGACCCGCTAAAAAATCGCTCGCGCAACTTTTCTTGCTACAGGATGCATGCGGTTAGCGGTGAACCGATTTTGTGAACCGCCACCTAATTAATTAGTTAGCATAGGCCATGGTTTTTGTGTACGGAATGCGCTGCGGATAATATCCAGATTTTTTTAAAGCGCTCATCGACCAGATAAATCTTTCTAATATCTAATATTTATAATTCTAATATTTTACGTGTGTTTCTTTTTTCTTTATGAGTTGGAATATATACATAATTCTTTGCAAAAGTAGAGGTTACTTTGTGTCGATGCCAAGCGACATAATTACCGTAATACAGAGGAACTGTCGCGGAATTAAAATGTAAACGGAGTTATAAAAACAGCGATAAAGTTAACGATACAACTACTGCGAGATCGTTAAGAAATGAGTCCCCGCAGTATCGCACTTTTTGTTCAGTTCACCCACTCGCATACGTAATTTCACGAATATGAAATAATTTCGATATCTCTCTTTCTCCCACTCCCTCTCTCTCTCTCTCTTTCTCTCTCTCTCTCTCTCTCTCTTCCTCTCTTGGAAGTTCCGCTGGAAGTGTCAAGTACGGCATAAAACGAAATCGGGCGATAAACGCGCCTCTTCCGCGAGAGAAAATACGCGTCACCGAGGCGCGTCTGGAATTGCATAGCGACGCATCGGCATCTGAAAACTTCTTCAATAAAGCAAGAGAAAAGAAGATATTCAGCATCCGCATGTTACATAAACTGAGCGATGCACTCTCAAAATTTTACGATCCGGTAAAACGATGTCACTGTCCTTACTCCGTTCTGTCTATAAATCGATTCTTTATGCGACAATCTAAGCTCGCCGTTTCGCATTTCCTTTTATTGTCGTACGTTTCGCTTCTACGCAAAATTTTCACTTGTGCAATACTTGACGTTGCGCGCGCGTACATTTGTTTAAAATAGCGTAGCTATTTTAGATTCGACAATGGCCGCGTTGCGCGCTCGTTTGACTATGATTTTCACGCGCGCACGAATATTCTGCACGGCGAAGGTGAAAGTGCGTTACGTACCATTTGCGACACTACGGCACACGTAACCGCAGATAGCGCAGTTTTGTTCATAATTTACGGATAGCGCGTAGAATCAAATCACCACAAATCTCCGCACTCCCCCCCCCCCCC